TCTTTGTTCAGTTAGAATAAAAAAAAAAAAAAATACATTTTGGCCAAATTAATAATTCCTCTTTACAGATTGGGACAAAGGAGAAAATCATTTCCCTATTATTTTTCTTTTCTATTCATGTAATTAGAATCAAGAGAATTTAATTTTTGCATTTAATTGAATAAATATTCTGCCATTACAGAATATGTGAAAGCAAACAAAAACTTTTATTTATTTATGGCAGGGGGTAGAATTTAAAAACAAATCTTTGTTTTTTACCCAGTAAACTATAAGACATGACATTATTTGAACAATTGGGCTTGACAGTTTGAATAAAGAGTGAGAAAATGTGTTTATCAGGGAGAATAGGAAAAAACCTGGTTTGGCATCTTTTATCAAGAAAACACAGAAAAATATCTCTTCAATAGGATTTATAAGGATGAATGGATGGGTTTTCATTGATAAGGGTAAAAAGGATAATAGTTTGGGTTTGTAAATTGCAAAAATGCTGATACTAATATTGGATTGCAGTTCAGTAATTTTCTTGACAATTCTCACTTTACCCTTTGTCATGGAAAATTCATATTATACAAAGTTTTAAAGATAATTGATAAATTTATAATTGTACAATTCTAGGAAATTGTTGCTAGCATTTTTGTACACATTTCTTTTGTCTATAAACAAATTCAGAAGGCAAACATCGAAAAGGACACTTTGAAAATATATTTATGGCAGGAATTTTTCTTTTAATAATAGACATTTTGAAAAAGATTTTCTTAATTGTTGTTACAAAACTTAATAAAAAGAATAAAAATGCCTATTTGTAGGAAAGAAATGAAAATCCAATTCATCAGTTGAAATAAGATTTTACTTTTGTGAAAATTTTTAATTTAGATTTGAAATATTAGATTAAGAACTATAAAATGATTTCCATTAGATAAACAAGCTTGATTGTTTTTTTACATTAATTATTACAAAATCCAAATTTCTGGTTCAAATTGAAAACTTAATCTTGTACAACAAAACCAGTAAAAGAAACATTACAACAGAATAATTTGAGAATGGAATTTCTTAAAATGGTTATATCTATTAAAAATCTAAATTAATATCAGTCAATCAGTTTAGTGATACACACCTGGGCGATCATGTGTTCTTTTTATTCATGACTGACTAGGCAGAAGATTTTCCCACAGTTGGTTGCCATTTCTTTCTTCAATAGCTTGGTTGCCAAACAAGGCTATAGGATTCAGTCTGCCCTGTTAGTCAACCCATAGCTGAGGCAGGTAGAGATGGATTTCAAGGGCATTTGCATGTAAGTGATTGTGATAAACCCGATCAAACCCAGCTCCCTGATTTCTCATTCTGAGCTATTATACCACACTGCATGTCTATAAAAAGATTCGAACATTGCTCTGTAAGAAGTTGAAGGAAAATATTTTAATCTCTCCCCCCACACAAACTATATCTGATCTCGAACACTGAAGATAAATTTTTCAAAATAACAATCAGTTAAATCTTTTCATATAATAAAAGTATAAACCTCTTTATTTCAAATGGAAAGTCAGCATTCATCTAATTGGATGTAGAAGATTGTTTTCTATTTTTTCATCTCCAAAACCTTTTGGTAAGGGGATTTTATATTTTTTTTTTTTTTTTGCAAAAAGAAAGTTTATAAAATTCTCACTTTTTGCAAGTGAACTGAATAAGTAACATGAAAAAAATCTTTGGGGGCTTAAAAACTTTTCAGACAAATATTTTGAATATTTGATTGATTGATTTTCATGTTAGCCATTTTGCTAGCCATGACTGTAGTTTTTGTGTTTCTTTTGTTTTCCTCTTTCAGACAAGAGTAACACTGCTGGCCATGCAGACATTGAGAAAGATCTTGAACAGCAGTTTGAGCAGAGTCAAGAGCACAAGCGTCTGAGTGGCAAACATGGTCACACGGGGCTGGGGTTTAAACCCGAAGAAGAAGAGACACAACAGGAGGCAGCTGTCACAGGAGTTGTAAAGAAGGCTACGGACAACAACAACACTGGCAGTCTGACAGAAAATCTAGATGATGATGAGGAGGAGGAGGAGGAAGACGAAGAGGAGGAGGATGAAGAAGAGGATGAAGACAAGTCTCTCGATGACGACGATGATGAGGAAGATGACCTGAGTGATGACGACGACGATGATGATGTGAATGAGGATATCAGTGATGAGGAAGATGATGGCGAAGTACCAACAGATGCAAAGAAAATGAAATTGATTGAGGAGGAGAGCCATTAATTTTGTCATGCCACTATTTTTCCACACATTTCTCATTTGTCACTCATTCACAGCTCATTTCATTTTAGTCATTCTGCCAAAGAATGTATGCAGCCTTCTATCTTTGGCCATAATAAACCAATTTCATTAGGTGCTTTTAGCTCCTTTGTTTTTATTCCTTACAATGCTTTCCTTCTAACAGTGGTTTGAAAAAGCAGTTTGAATGTTTTTGATTTAAACCTGCAACCATATACAGATGACATAATTATTTGATCGACATTAACCTCGAATAATTTTATCTGATTCTCTATATAGATTGGAGAATTTAGTGCTGGGGGTAATAAATGAGAAATAGAAAACATCATTTGAATTTGTTAATGTAAATATTAGACATGAAAATGTTTTCTTTGAGGCTTGTACTAAAATAAATTCTTTTTTTAAGGCAATCTTGAGGAGAAATGTGCTTTTCCTGGAAAAAAAATCTTTATAAGTAAGATTCGTTTTTAGTGTTTCAAATAGAAAGTGATTTTCAAAGTGTTTGAATTTCTTTTCAGGAGACTAACATTTAGAAAAGATTATAGGATTTCATTAAAAGAAAAAAAACAAATAAATAAAACTCATACTATAATTAAAATATTTTGGCACAGGGAAACAATAATGAAGAAGCCAGTGGGGATTGAACACTTGAGCCCGTCAGAAAGCCTGACATGTTTCAGCAAAATCTTTTGCTGTATTGGAAGGAGATTATTAAAAATTTGTTGTATAAATTTGTTTTCGCATTCATCATTAGGCTACAAACATTGATACACTTATGTAGAATCATTGAACACACAAGCCCTCATTGGTTAAGCTGTTACAAGACTTGCCTCTCATTAAAAGTGGTTATTTTTGAAGATATTGCTCAATCAGACTATTAGAAAATGGATGCTAAATAAAGATATAAAAATTAAAGTTAATATTGCTTTTTGATAAAATATAGTTTTTTTTTTTTTTTTTTTTAATGTTGTCCAATCAAATGAATGCTCTAGAAATGCGATTCAGAGATGTATTTTTTGTTGTTTATTTTGCACTCTTAGAAACACTGTTGGTCAGTTATAAGAAAAAAAAATGCAGAAATCACACCAGTTGTAAATCTCTTGCTGCAATGTTTCTTTTCAATATATAATAAATATTGAAATAATCATTAAATTGTCAGAAAAGAAAAAATTAGACTTCCATGTAGAAACTTCCTACACATTGTTTTGTTTGTTTCTTTTTTGTGTGACCACAAACAAAATCATAATATAAAGGATACAAAGTGGCTTTACAAACAAGAGATGTCAGCTGATAAAGAAATTATTTTGTTTCATATGATTGAGAACTTCCATTTTTACATTCTTATATTAAAGTGAATTTTTCACACTGCAGATTTTCTAAGTTTAGTATGGCCTAAATCTCAGGCACTCTGTGAGAATTGAACTTATTTCAGAAGCAACAGTCTGTAAAGATTAATTGTCACTCCATGCATTACTCTTATGTTTTTGAGTTTTTTAAAAAAAGATTTGTGTTTATATAAAAAAGACCACAGTTGTTGAAGGAAGTGAATTTTGTTATAAATTGGTTGTGTGATTCAGATTTTTTAGGACTGGAATTCAATCTATTTTATATTTGTTCATTTGAAAAAATAGAAAACCTTGAAATGTATGCAGCCAAAAAATTGGTATTAAAATTTTAGTAAATGCAGCAAAATATTAAAAGGTAATGGGTACCATGGAAACAGGTTAAAGAAAGTAAGTTGGCCTGCAGACATTTCTGCAAACTCAAATGTTTTTCAATTGCAGTTATGGGATTATTTTGTCAATGTTTTTTGTAATTATCAACTTCATTCTTAATGTTTTCTAAAGTCTATATTGAGATTTCCAAGCTGATGGCATTAAAAATTGTTAAAAATTATTATTAAGAAAATATCTGCTTACTTGGAAAAGTCATAAAATTAAAATAATTTAAATAAATAAATAAAAAAAACCTGTGTTGCTGATGTGGATTAAATTGGTTCATCTTAAATGTGTTTCAATTTCATTGACTAGGTTTACTTAAACTAATGCAAAGATCATTCTACAATTTTGATAAAACAATTAGGAAAACAAATTTGTAAAATTCATTTCAACAAATTATTAAAAAAAAAAAAAAAAATAATGACCAAAAGTTGAAGTTTCATTTTCTATTTCTTAAAGATTTTTTTTTTTTTTTTTTTTTTTTGTCATTTTGGCTTTTTAAGTTTTAAGCTTATCACTCACACTTTGGCCAGATTTTTATCACCAAGTTGAAAAGTCTTCAATCTTAAAAATACAATTTTATCATATAACAGTTTGATGTTTGTTAATGTAAGCTAACAAGTTCATATTCATGTAGCCCCCAGTGAGGATTGACTTTACCAAATCTGACAGGCTACTTGGTGCATGGGTGATTTTGTGCTAATGAACTTTAACCTGAAATTGAAACTCTCAACCACTGAGCCAATTATTGATTCAGTGGTGGTTTTGAATCTAAATCAGAAAAAGTTTTATTGAGAAGAGAAAGACACAGAATTGTATGAATAAAGTATGCAAGAGAGGGGAAATGAATTTACACAATACAATAATTTTTCCAACTAAACTGACTTGGCTCCGGGGGGAACTTTTCCCCAAATTTTTCTCTAATATATAGAATTTCTTGGATACTGACAAATCGAGTTTTGTGGTAAGTTTTGAACTGTATTTTTATTAAAAACTAGACTACCCATGACCTATTGAGTCACTGACAGTTCAGGTTATAAAACATTTAAGTTGATTTCAACATTCCATTTACATGAAAATTAATTTTATTATGATTCAGTTAAATATTTCAGTTCATTTGTGTCATTATTGATCTGGTTTACATGTTTTACTGAGTGTTTACAGCTTTTAATAGGAATAGAACTTTCGGGATAAACTTGAACTTTAAATCAGATTAACATACAAATATTTTTTTATTTAAAATATTTTTAAATCATATTAAAAAAATATTTTTAAATCATATTCACTGGAAAATATTTTTTAAATATTTAAAATAGTGTTTGTTTAAAGCAAGCTGAAATATAAATAATTACTCGATAAACAACTGGACAAATCAGCAAAACGGGATCTCTTTGTATCTGTCTTTAACTTAAAACATTTTAATTAAAAAAATTGTTAAAATAAAAATACTGTATAAACAACTTGTATTTTTAAATCTTATTCACTTAAATCAGATTAACTTAAATCATTATTTGCCACCATGCAATCACAGACTTTTAGTATTATAAAGATAGGTAGTGTGAAAACATTGTAAATTGCACAAATAGAGAATCAATGAGAATGCTTGAGTATAGAAATGTTTAACCACAGTAATGAAGAGAAACTAAGTAGGTTTTGTATAAATAAGAGAATGTTCATAAGTGTCAATACAAAAACAACAAATTGATTTACTCTGCAAAAGTGACATCAGAGATTTTGTTTGATTTTCAAAATCTGTGTAATGTCATCTCAGACAATGTTTGGAATCTGACATTGTCATTCTAAGGGTAAAATTGAAATAATGCAATTCTCTCATGAAAAACATTTTCAAACGTTTAACTTCAGAAAGAATAATTGTGTGAAAATAAAATAATAATATTGAAAAAAAAAAAAAAAACAGAAGTTAAAGAAACTTGTTTATTGAACCAATACAAAGAAACAAACCATTTTTTTTTTTTTCTACAATTCCAGTTGATTTTTCTTATGAAAAAAATGTTAATTTGAAATTAGTAATTTCAGTTGTAATGGTTGAAGTACTAAACATTTCTGTGTAGTTAATGTGGTTGCATGGGAAATAGAAAAACCTTTTGATCACAATTGTGTAAATGCAAAATAGCCCAGATGTTTTTTTGTTTTTTCTTTTCTTTTCTATCCTTGACTTGTCATTTCTTAAAATTGATGTGTGCAAAACATCTAGAGTAATGCGGGACCTCTTCATTTGTCGATTTGAATTTTTTTGGTTAAAGTTTCTCTAGAAATTCTTTTTTTAACAACAAAAATGCCATTTTATCAATTAATAGAACTACAAAGCAAATTGCGTGATTAATTTTCAATTGCTGAATGTTTTGAATGAATGGAAAGGATTAGTAAAAAAAATTTTATCAAATGCAGACTGAATTTGAACAAATTAATTCAACAAGATGAACATGTGTAGGTAACAAGTGGCAATCAATTGTTTCACTCAGTCCTGTGTGTCTCCAGCAGATCAAATTTAAAAAAAAAAAAAAAAATTCTTTGCATAAAAGACAAAGAAAATTTATAAATAATAAAGTGAATACTTTACACACACACACACCCTCTTTTTTTTTTTTTCTTTTGACTACTGGATTGTGTATGACATAGCCTCTTTCTCTCTCTCTCTCTCTCTCTCTCTTCCCCCCCCCCACCATCCTCTATCGGAATTATTATCTGTCAATGAACAACTTTCATGATTTTCTCGTTTTTGCTTGTGGTCGACTTTGTGTAATCATAGAATTGTTTTTTTCTGGATTCTGTTTCGAACTTGTGCTTTTGTCAAATTGCCCCATTTTGTTTGGCCTGGATACAAGAGATTTGCTTAAAAAGGACCTGTCTGGGGTGGATCGGGAGCTACCACTTGCAGACATGCTAGAAGCTTGTGTCTTGGTTGAGGTTGGAGAAACTTCTTTTTTTGTCTTTACACTCATTGAGTTTACTAACGACTTTTTCCTTTTGTCTTCCACAGAAACATTTTCTGTTTCCTAAAAAAAGAAGAAAAAGAAAGTTATTTCCATAAAAAAAAAAAATGGTGCACATTTAGGCAAAAAAAGTGTTCTGCTTAATTTATTGATTGTTATTTGGAGTAGAATTTGGTTCTTTGCATGAACTAATTTATAAAAGGTTGTTACAAAAAAAAAATAAAAGAGAAATGGCAGAAAGAAAAAATGTTTAAAAGTCCTAATCAATGATGATTTTTTTTTTTATTTATTTATATATATATATATATATATATATACACACTAAAGAAAAATTATGGGGTAAACTGTGTTTACTCAGATTTTGGGAAATGCAGGTGTAATTAATTTCATTCCCTAAAAGTTAACACATTTGAATACATTTATTATAAATGGGTGCAGTCGAATGATGTGTAGTATAATAGGTAAAATGATAGTATTATGCCCACTCAACTGGGAATTTCACGTGGCTTTGTGACATATCTCAAGTGATATTCTCACACATATATGGTATTTGTCATGAACTAACCTTGACATTCTCCCTTTGAATGCCATAAGAGAGATGCCAAGAAGTAATAATAGAAAAAATACGAGGAGGCACTTTCGAGTAATGGATAGCGGCTTGGATTGAGGAATTGTAGAGCTGAGTTCGAATTCCAGTCAAATCCATTACATTCACTTACAGGGTAATACCTTTGTGAAAGGTATGAATCCTCTTCTTCTCCCCTCAGCTATGAGTAAATAGCAGGACAGACTGGGTTCTATAGCCTTGAATAGCAACTGGTCTACCCTGAAAAGAAATGGCAACCTACTGCAGGAAAAATCTGCCTGTCAGTCATGTATCGAAAGATAAATGATTGCCTAAGCGTGTATCACTGACTAAAATTATTGAAATGAAAATTAAAGTACAATATCACTGAGGTGGCATTTGTTCCAGTTTATTTTCTCTGGCAAGGGTAGACAAAGAATATGTGAATTGTAGACAATAACACATGAAAGCTAGATACCCCTAAGTGATGTTAGAACATGGCTGAGAGGTGAAGCTAATGAAGATGAGCTTTACATCAATTCAATGTTGGTGTCACTTGACCCATCAGTGCACTACATTTCATGGAGCTTTCATTGTCAGGCAATATGGCGATCATTATTACTAATTACTGCCCCCATACCTGGACTTAACTTAACATTGGAGAGTGTGGAACTAGTATAACGGTACCAGGTCATGAATGACATTTTCAGATAGTCATTTCCACTATATAAAGGAGACATACATCCAGCCCATCAGCAGGGAGTTGTGCAAGCTCTCCAATGGTGGATAGATGTGTTCTGTTGGCATTTGCAGTGCTCACTTATGAACCCAGGGTCTGTCTTGATAGGTGTAACATACATATACACACATCTTGTTGTTATGTTCCCTAGTGGTGACGGTTTATTCCAGTTAAATAATGCACCCCCTGCCTACACTTATCATGTATGGCTTACATGAAACTAGTCCCAGGAACACCCAGCTAACTTCCAGGCACTACATTGTCTTTGGCAGTCAGCAGATTTATATCTGTTGAATGGATATGGGACATGTTTAAAACCTTGCATGCATATATATACATATATAGAGAGAGATAGGGAAATATGTAATTTAAAAAAAAAATAAAATCATCCTTGATAATTATCAGTATAATTTAATCTGAGCCAAAGTCAGCAGGTAATGTAAATTTAACAATGTGATATGTTTCTTTCTACCTAATTCAAAATGATAGGCTTGTGTTAGTATTTTATTAAAAGGCTGTAAATATATAAGAACCATCAAGAAAATCTATAGATCTGAAATGATAGAATGTATTTTGTAAAAGAAAATTGGCTGCTTTTTAAGCAACTGGAAAAAATTTTTTTTTTTAAATATTCAAATCTGTAAAGAAAAAAAAAAATTGCCAATTCTTACGTCTTGTGCGTCTTCATTTTCTGAGTCTCCATTTTGTGCTTCATTTTGGAGGTCTTCCTTTAAGTGGTCTTTTATGAGGTCATCTTTCCAAGATGACATCATTTCCAAAACATTAATATTTAGCTTACTATCTTTCTTTATACCCTGAAATAAAACAAATATTGGAATAACACACACACACAGACACTCACATCTACACACTTGGAAAAACATGATCAAAAAACAAAAAAAAAAAAAAAAAAACCTTGAACATTATTTTGCAAACATTTACTAATTTTAGTATTAGGTGACCCAAAACCTGTTTGGTTTATTTAAATAAGACATTTCTGTTTTTTTTTTTGGGGGGGGGGACTTTATTGAGCAAACATATTTACTGTTTTTATGTCATGCCATCATTTAGGCAACTTTATTAATTCCAGTTTCTGTTTTCTTCAGAAAAGAACTGCTCTAGTTGCCTTTTGCAGTCTTTCAAGGAAGTGAAATTTATTTAAGATAATTTTATGAAAACTAGAATAAATAGAAATTTAAATCAATTTTTGCCTGGTTACTAAAGAAGCCAGTCTTCTTATTTTGATGGAATATTACATTTTCTTGATTCTGTTAGTTGCTTCCATCAGTTAGTTTAATTGGGAGCAGTATGTTTCTCTGGAAGAAACTCAAAGTAGAAGACTTCTAATCTTTGGATGAAGACTAGTGGCCCTTGGTATGGTTAATAAGGGGAGTCATTTCACATTGTTATAAAATATCCACTTAATGAACAGTCCTGTCACAATTGGTTTAAAAAAAATGGAACATTTTTGCTATGTTTTTCAAATTGCACAAAGCAATAAAGTTCAGTTATGTGGAAAGCACACAAAGTGACTGGTGCAAATGTTCAATGCTTGCATTTTTGAGTATGGTGTATAACATTGATTATTTTTAATTAATATTTTAATTTCATCACTGCCAACCTCAATTATGCTATGGAGCATTGATTATTCACAGTAACTCTTATATATATAAAAAAGCTTTGAATTGCATTTTCATCTTTCTTAAAGGCATAATTCACTAAAAATGTATAATACTTGTTTTTTTTTAAATGTATAATTCTATTTTTTCACTATCATAATAAACAAAAACAGACACATTTTGATAAAATTTAAACACAAACATGCCATTGATGTAACAACTATTGAATCATAAAGCAATCTTTTTTAACAAAGTCAAAATGAAATGTTTCTCATGCCACCCAACAAACTTTACACCAAACCAATAAAAAAATATAGACTTAAATGTCTTGCATTTTTATAGATATAGTAATCATGAAAACTTAGAATTGTATTCTCCAATTCTATCGACAACTGAACAGCAATGTTAATGATATTAAAGAAGGTAAGTTATTGAAAATAACATTTCAATGTTCATAAAATTATTCACATGAGTTAATTTAAAATGTAAAAAAAAAAGTGTTTTGAGAAACACATGAATCAATAATATTAAAAATTCACGCAGTTAAATTCATTATTAAAGCATACAAATGACAAGTATATAAAGCTTGCCACAAAAAAAATTGTACTTACAGTAAACCAAGAATGTTGCAGGACTTCAGCTGCAGTCAAACGGTAACCAGTATCAAGATGCAACATATTCTGAATGCAGTTTTTTGCTAAAATGTTAATAAAAAATGAAAAAAATTTAAAAACTAAACTCTGTAAAATTTGAAACCATAACACATCCATTCTTACTTGAGTAATTGTTAATTTTGTGTTTATTTCACAAATACAAATTTTAACTCGACAAATTGGAATTCTCGTTTTTGTAAATATTTAAACAAAATGAGAATTCCAATTTTTATTTCACTGACCTTTATTCATTTTCAGTTCTGTTCTGAAAATTTTTCAACCAAAATTAGTTCAGTAAATTCTTTATGAGATTTATATTTCATTTTACCAAGTATACAATCATTAAATTTTATATATAATTATGCAAAATTAAAAATAAAGATGAATGTAAAAAGACATTTTAAACATTTCAGAAATTCTGTAAATAAATAATATATTATTAATTAGGCCAATGGTTTTCCATAAATACAAATAATTATCAGTTGTATGTATTGTCAATTGTAATTGGATCATAGAGTCAATGTGAATGCCACAATCCTTTCATTAGCTGCATAGTATGTGCTTTGCCAGGCCTACATACAGTTTTGCATTTAGAGTTGTTCTATACTTGGTTGCTAACTAAGGCTACAGAGCTCAAACTACCAACTATTTAACCTATAGTTGGAGGTTTGAATTCAGAGTTGTCCTAGACTTGTTGCCACCCAAGGCCCAGTCTGTCTTGCTATTTACCTATGGTTGGTGGGGGATAGCTTCATACCTTTCCCACAGTTATTTGCACATAAGTAAATGAACTCAACTGGAATTCAAACCCTGCTCTCCCCAATTACTCTTGTGAATTACACAATTGAAAAAGCAAATGTAGCTAATTCTATCATTCTTTCATATAAAGAATATTTATATAACTTACCAATTTATCATTTTATTTGTATATAAGTAATCTATAAGTTGAAAAGTGACACTATTTAGCTATGGTAATTAACTAATTAGCCATAGAATTGAACAGGAAAATGCTGAAAACAGAAAAGAAGGGTTAAAAGATATATGGACAAACATACCAAAAAAAAAAACTGCGAAAGTTTTAATTTTAAGAAAGAAGCTAAATTCTCAAAAGCAAGAATTGCAGAAGAGATAATTTTTGCAATAAGGCAATCTGGCAAATATAAATTAATTACAAGAGCCTATATAGATAAAGATTTTACAACCTAGCAAGGCGACAGTCAAGTAAACATTATGCTTGAAACAATAGATTCTCAAGTTATGAAAATGCAAGTGGCCGAATTGATGGCGATTATTAACAGGCGTCAGGAACTGTTGATTCAGTACATGTGAAATAAGCAGAATCAACAAAGATGTGATCTATTGTTCGGAAGTGCATAGATATTGTGTAAACAGGTAATATGAACGAGGAAAGAGGCAGATGAGAGGGCCATGTGTTAATTGTAGGAATTTTGGCAGTACGCAAAAAGGGTTTGCGTAAAAAAAATTCCAGTTGATAATTCTAACTGCACATGATCTGGGAACAAGATAAGAATAAGCAGAGGTGTCAAAAAGTTAATGAAGCAAGCTTCAGCACGACAGACGCCATTGGTCACATGGTAGCAGTAGTGGCAAGCAGAGGTATAATAGTAAGAAAGATGGGGGCCCACCGAAAGGAATTGGTGTGAGGAGGAAGGAGTTTAGGAGGATAGCTATTCTGCAAACTCTCCTCACGGATGAAAGGATCCCCCCACCCAGAAATGGGAAGTAATTAATTTTCCTGGTCAGACAACAAAGTGACCCTTGTTGGAAATCGGGGATTCACTGAAAAACCCAGATTGTGTCTAACCTTGCACCAGGTTTTGATTAAAGTCCATATAAGCAAGTGTCTTTGAGCAGTTCGCTAGTTCATGTTTTGCAGTTGGGGAGAGATTCCCTGATTCTTGCTGACATGAGAACCTCCAACTTTGCCTTCCTACAAACAGCAAGTTACACTGATGAACAAAACTAAGTCAACACCAAAAAACTAAAGCAGTTAACTTAGAAGACCAGAACTTGCCTAGAAGTATAAAAGTGTCACTCTCAGAAAACACACTCTTGTATATGTATTGATAAAAGTTGATTTGCTTTCTTTAAACATACCCAAACCTTTTTGGTTTTTGATTTATTTCTTTTTACTTGCGCAACATCACCTCCGGTTCAGACTCACCTTGCACAATGGCCCTGGTGTCTAATTGATTTCATCTACCTATGATCAAAATCACAACATAGATTAGATGAGATTGAAGCAGTTACTTTGGAAGCAAGCTAAGAACGTCGGAGCTGGTGTCAAAACGGTTGCATCTGGTGTAAAGCCGTTAGAATTGACAAACCATCTCATTTGGTACTCTGACCAAAGGATCCCGCCAGGTAGTGACAACCACCAATTGACCAGATCACATATTGTTGGCCGTGACTAAGAGTCAACTCCAGAATGCCCAAGTAGGTGTCACAAAGTTTTTATTACTCATTGTAAACTACATGTATATCTAATAAAACTTTGAAACTTGCATTGTTTATCAATTTTTTTATACTCTGAATGTAATTAATTTGAAGCTATTGAAATTGGATCCTGCTTTTAGGTTAGTTCTGTGCAGTGGTTTTTAACATGGCTGCTTTAACTATTGCTCCAATTCATACAATTGGTGTACATAGAAAAGCAAGATAAATTTTCAGTGTCTAAGTTGTTTTCATGTTGAAATCCTTTTTTTGAAATTGGACCAGAGGAGAGAAATCTGAAAGTCTAGAGCCAGGTATTATGTCAATAATACATCAGATGCAAAACAGTATTCCTATAAACTGTCAACACAACTTTCTGTTTTAAGGAGAAAAACATTTAATTTAATAGCTTTCTTACATAAAGATTTAATTTGGAAATTGATCTTTGAATATATATATAGTCAGTGACAAAAATGTTTTCATTTATAACTGAAAAAAATAAACAGGAATACAGGCTTTGATATAACATCAAAAAGCTTGGTTTAGGTGTCATGAATCAATTGCCATATTGTTGTTGGTTGTTATGGGCTTTTATGATGTACTTGGTTCTTATGGAGTGTCAGTATAAGTTCAACCAAAGTGTATTTAACAATCTGATATAACATGCAAACTTTGACAATAATTGCCTTATGATCCATTTTTGATATTAGTTTCTAATTTCAATGGCAGATAAAAATGGTGTTTATCTTAATCCAGCAAGCAATACATGTTAGTGTCAATAATAAATTAGATTTAAAATTCTTTACCTTCAGAACTGATATCATCCCAATCTGGTGAGAAGAAATCAAATTCTCCCTGTCTTATTTGAGCCATCAACGAGTCTTCATCATCAGAAATAAAGGGTGGACTCCCACATAATCTGAAAACAATAATGAAGCACATGTGATGATAAAATAGATATTTGGCAAATAAAAAAAATCTTTTTCTGGTGATCATCACTTCTTGTTGATTAAAAGAAAATATTATTTTGTTGAAAGGCTTAATCTTTTTCTCTTAACATTAAATAAAACCTAAGGGAAAATAGTTCTGTAATCTATACTGGTTTATATTTTTGAATTTTACATTTTGAGATTAGCAATTTCTTAATAACTATTTGTCAGCATCAAAAATTCTACATGTTGTGATATATTTGCATTACCTGATTTGCATATCTAAAGAAGGAGAATAGTAAATGACATCACATTAACAGAGACACCAAGAGACTTGTGAATAACACAGAATACTCTTTGACAAATCACCAGAATGACATCACAAAAATAACATTGTTTTTTATTCTTTTTTTTTTTATCTCAAGAGGAATGTGACTTTGTTGAAGTATGGCTGAGACACTTTGCAGCTAATGTGACAACAAAGCAAGAGGAAGAAGAGATGATGAAAAAAAGAATCTGCTTTTGGCCACTCATTGATGCTAAACAATAAAGTTTCACTGATGGCTTCTCCAATGATGTTGGAAGACTTGACTTTCAAAAAAATAAGTGAAATAATAGAAAAGAATCTGCTGTCTAAAAAAGTTGGTTGTTGTTGAAAACAAAAGTCATGTCCATGCAACAGGAAACTGGGGAATCTATTACAAATTTTCTAGACTAAGGAATGCAAACTGAAATTCCAAGTTTGAAAAACTCAGAAAGGAAGACAAACTGAGATTGATTGAACGAATGTATAAGGCTTTGCACTGCGACAAAATATTAGAGCAACTGCATTTCCTCAAATGTTTGTGTAGACTTCATAGCTGCAATAATTGATTTTGAATTTCAACATGTCTGCTATTGAACAAGAAAACTTAGAGCTTATTGGCATGTACATGGTAAAGAAAATAGTGAAATGCCTGTGGATATGAACATGAAACAAGGTCAGGGAAATGCCCAGCATTTGCAAAAATTTATAAAAGTTGTTTTAAAAAATGTATAATTTCCAAAAAATAAAAAAGAACAGTGCAAAAAGTATGAAACAAGAGCAATAAAAATTACAAAACAACAATGTTACATCCATTGATTAGAAGAAAGTTGGGAATGTCTAGGCAAACAAAACTACTGCCATCTGCCAATTGGGTGATTCAATTATAAAAATATTTTAGATTTTTTGAAGTCACTCTAGAATTGATAAAAAGATTTGAAGTAATATCCATCATTGTTGCAGATTGTAAAAAGGAACACAGGCTTGTCAGAAATTATATTGTTAACATCAATTCTTCAAAATTAATTAATACTGTAAATGTGTAAAAAAAAAATACAAAAAAAACAGGCATGAGAAAAACTATAAAGCCAAAGAAAAGCTGAAAAGAAAATATGAATCTTTGGTATAATGAAGTGTATAAATTGCCAATACATTTATTGCCAGTTGTAGTTACAAAACTATAAAACTTAGTGGAACAAGGCCTTCTTGAATAGGTTCCAGCTGGTGGCAGTATTCTTACCCAACACTGAATGTGGAATTGGTCTTATACTTCATAAATGCAGGAATGAAAGTATTCACTGAAATAGATTTGAAAACAGTATCAACAGATATTGATAGATGATAAATTCAAAGTGACAATGATGAACACACTGATAGGATTAATAAGAGACCAAAATGCTATATGGAGTAAAATGCCATTGAGCAAGGAGAAAATATGAAAAATAGCATCATCATATACCAAGATGATTATATGCATGTGATACTGATGAAAAAGATTTTTTTAAGTCTTGTCTTGAGTAGTTTAAGGAATAAAAGAAAGACAATAAATGGAAAAAATGCGTACAGAACTGTAGTAAAGTATCATTCCTGGGATTTTTTTTATACTAGTGTTCACCCAATACAAGGGCCACTCAAGGTAGAGGGTTATTGAATGAGGATGTCAAAATGTAGGAGGAAGGAATAAAAGGTGAATATTATGGGGATATGTAGGATAGATAACAGTTGATACTAGACTTGAACAGATTAAAATTGCAATCATTAAGGAAATATCTCAGTTGTCTGAGTGGAACTTCTCTACCAATGAACAGAATACAAAGGGAATGAGGAGAGGTCATCTCTGTGTACATGACATGGCGTGTCCTTACTGTTGGTCTGAACTGGTGTAACTAAGGAATGTGGTTTGGCTTGTTTTGTTTTATGGCATATCAACCTCAAAGTTATTTAATGCGACCAAAATTTTTATTGCTGGCAATTTTTTTCCCCAAAAACATATTGCTGGTAATTTTTTTTTTTTTTTTTATGTATAGCTGGTATTTTTTTTCAAAAATGTATAGCTGGTAATTTTTTTTTTAAATTTATTGCTGGCAATAATTTTTTACAAAGTATTTCTGGTATTAAAACCTATTTTTACACTTTTATGGCCCCAGGTTAGGGGTTAACTATTTACCCATAGCTGGGACCTAACAGGTGCTACCACCCTGGGACAGGGTGGACCTGGGAACACCATCAACTAAGAGTTGGTTCCACACTCCTCAAAACCTCCTTGCTGTTGGACATAGTTTATCGTCATACCCCGGACAGCTAAGGATGTAATTCATTTTAATATTTACCATGGAGAAAATGTTCCTCTGCTTAAAGGGTAATGAAAAAATTAGGATTGGTCAGAAAAAGGTGGAAGGAAGGAGGTCTTTTTTTATTTTTTAATGATGTTGGTATCTTTTTAAACCTATCTCTGTTTTTGTGTATTATGTCTGTGTGTTTTTGTTAGTGTTTTACTCGTTAGGATTTCATCAGACTGGGCTTTGTTGATGTTGTCATTTCTACACATTATTAACCTTTAAGCAGAGTAACATTTTCTCCACCAATCCAAGAAGAATTTGGATTACTACCACACACAAAAGACAATGGTTAAACATAGGAAAACATAAAGGAAAAAATTAATTCCTTTAAATAATATGTGGAAATAACCATTCTTCGCCTGATGACAGTTGCAAAACCTGAAACACCTGTAGCAAAAAATATGGAAAATGAAGTATAATATATATTTTAAATAAATAAAAAAATCCACATTATAACCAAAAACATTTGTGACTTCTCTTTCCTCTTTAAAATATACAACTTTCTCTCATTGGAACAACTTTAATCTCTCCCTTATATATAACTACAGCAAAAGAATGCCATGAACAGAAAAGAAAATCATGGAAGAACTCCTAAAATTATACAAATTACTAACAGAAAACAGGAACTTCTGGAGTAAGAAATACAGAAATTGAACAAAAAAATGACACTATACTTCTACAACTCACAACCCAACAAACCAGAAAACATAACTAAGACAGAAGCACTGGTGGAATATTTCAAAACTCAGTGTGGATACCTAGAAAATATTGGAAAGTTGTACATCCAAGAGAAATGGTACAAAACAAAGAAATAAAATCTCTGGATGTGGTTCAATTTACTTGAAGGAAACTAGCATTTTTTAATGCTATCAAAAACAGAAACTGCAACAATATATAAAACCTTCATAGAAATGTATTTAAGCGCATGTTTGTGCGAGTCAGTCAAAGTTTGGAGCTGGGTGAAGTGAGTTGACAAACAGTCACAGCCATTGGACCAGCCATCACACAAAGGACTACTACCACTACCATCTTCACCTTCACTGCCACCACTCAACATGTCTGTTTGCGGCTGTAATAAGGGTGGAAGTGAATTCAAAATTGGCGCAGTATTACCAATGAACCCCCATTATATCCTGATAGTGAAATAATTACGGCAACTACTAAGAACAAAAAGGGTGAACCCGAAAACTACTTCTCTGCTTTCAGAATTATTTGCAATATTTCTCTCTTTTTTTTCTGGACTTTATTTCACATACACTACTTTCTTGTAAAAGAAGCATTATTCTTTTTGTACCAATTTCTTCCTTATCAACAACAGTGAAATGCGGGAGTTGGGTGAAGCCCTCAATATGAAAGTCCTTGGAGCAATGGTGTATGCAAGAGACTTAATGCTATTACTGGTAATACGTGATTTAGATGTTGCTCTGTCATGGTTTATTTCTGCTTGCAATGCACTTGTCAACAATTCTGGTTTTTCCCCTAATCAGTTGGTTTTTGGTTTTAAATCAGCTGTTCCAGATATCTTCCATAATAATCTTCCTTCATTGGAAACTGTCACTAATTCTACTATAGTGAGGAAAAATTTGAATGCATTGCACCTAGTAGGCAGGAATTTGTAAAGCTTGAATCTAATGAAAGAATAAGAAGAACACTAAGGAGTAATATCAGAGATACTAATATAAAAGATTTACAAATTGGAGATATTTTACAAAAGGAATGATAGCTAAGAATAGCATGGGCCAAGTATTGTGATTGGATGTGATGGGAAACTAGTGTTAGTTCGTCATGGTTGTAAATATGTCAGAGTTCACACTCGTTATTTGGTTAAAGATCCAAATGCTGGTGATGATTCCTGTTCAGACTCTAGTGGTATCTCAAATTACAACGAACAACAAAATAATTCTCTGTAAACATCTTGCCCTCCCTCTTCTTACTCTCCAGAGCAATATAATGATGATGAAGATATCCTTCAACCTGTTCCAGAGGGACAAGATATTAACATTTCAATAGGGTCCTCCACAAGAGGAGCTTGCTGCATTTGGGCACAGGAAGGACAGTGTGTCTCTACCCAAACCAGGAGATGACATAGAATGCAAGTTGTCTGATGATGAAGAATGTCAGTGGATGAAGATGAAAGTGGTTAGCAAAGCTGGTAAATCCAGTGGAAAAAATAAGCACATGAAAGTAGCATTTGAAAAAGGTGAACCTTTCTGGCTGGATTTTGAAAATCGGGTTTCAGAATAGATGGTTGTTCAGCTCGGCAATCTGCACTGTTGTCCTCTGATTGTGTTAGGTACCTATTCTATTGAAATGGACATAGATAATAAGTAGGAGTAGCAGTGGCAAG